AGTTTTACCTTTTTTTTAACTTCAAGGTGTTTGGATATCGGATGAAACACCCTTTCGAATGTTCGATATAGCTTCTCAGAAGCAAAAGTTCATCAAATTTTATGATAATTAAGATCACATATCCAAATCTCCTTCACGGTTGTAATTCCTTTGCTTTCTCAGCATGAATTATTAATGGTTTCAGATGTGTCCTTCGTTCTCGAAGTTGCGCAGCTGCTTTGCTATCGAGAAATCTGCCATCTGTTCGTGTTCCCTTAAAATTCGGTGCTTTTTTAACAGGGACGTGCGAGGATTTGTTACTTATTAGCACCTCTTTCTTGTGTTTTGTAGATTCCTTTGCAAAGAACAACTGATCGCGAAGACTATCTACCGGTTTGAGTGCCATAATAACTTTCTAGTGTCCAAACTTATTGTAGTTGTATACGGCTTCTTCAGCATAAACCATTATAGGCCCATCGCGGCCATTGTGTTCAAACTTACTCAGATTCTGTCCCTCACAGGGAAGTGAGGTTTGTATGCCTTTGACAATTGCCGAGTGAATCCTTGTAGCTTTAAACGCGCCTGAATTCCTTGACACAGAAATGTACCTTGACTCCTTCCCTTCCGTCCTCAAATATCTTGGCTGTGTCATATTTCGTGCTAAATATTCTTAGCTTTTATGTCATCGCATTTCTGATTGTGAGTTTGCGGGATAAAAATCCGATCAAACTACCCTAAGATATGAATAAAGGGGTGAGTTTCTAAAGAAACTGTGGTGCTGCGTCGGTGGGAGAGTATAGCAGGTAATTTAGTGTTAACAACTGGGTTGAAAACGTAAATTAGCCACCGTAAAGGGTAAAAACGCTGACGTTTCGAGCGTTAGCCCTTCGTCAGAGCGATTTATAATCAGACAGACATATGAGTGAGATATGTCTGAGGAACGCGGCGATGCACCTCTCTGCGTCATTGTAAGCAGAAGAGCAGTTCGCTTGTGCCAAGACAATATATTATATTTTCTCTTGCTTGTGGGTATAGTTGGCTGAAACTGGCAGCCGACTTTTTCAGTACAAGTAAAAAGAATTATCTGTTTTTTATTTTACTTTATTATAGTTTTTTAGCTCCAATGCTCATTTGCATTGAAATGATAACTTTTAATGCTAATTTCTGATAGACTGATAGACTGATAGACTGATAGAAAGGCGTGTCGCAAGCTATTTTGCTGGTTTCACAATGTTGTAATCCATTTCTCAGCCACCTGCTCAGGAATTCGACGGAAATGTTTTCGAAGTTTAGGAAGAAAAGGCATCGCATCGCCCTTACAAAAGCATGTGGAGGCAACATTTCTATTTTAATCCATGTTGCGATGTAATATTTCTAACATTTTTTTTTTTTGCAAGCACTCTTTAGCTTTCGCGTCAAGGTCCACTTCATTTAAGTCGGTTCAGTCCGTTTACTTTCAGTTTGATGGCGTGATAACAGACAAAAAATAAATAATTTTGAAAAATTCCCGACTTTTCACAACGGATTTTTTTTCTACCAACGCATCAACCTCGCGCAGAATTCCAACCGCTATGTGAAAAATATGAATTCCGAATGTCCGTTACAAAAGCTTAAATGCAATTCATTTTGTTCCTTCCAATGAAGGAAAGATAAGGAGAGACGGATGTTATCC